CAGGGGCAGGGGCTAGGCACACTGCCCAGCTAGGGCAGTGTGTGGGACCCAGGGCTGGGGTGGGATGGAGCCACTGGTGGCTCATCCAGGGGCCACAGGGGGGAGGGTCCCCACTGCTGCACACCCCCTCAAGGGAAGGCATGGGCCCTCCAGATTTGTGTGTGGGGCAGATGTGGGCTGCTCACTGTGGGCTCGGGGCTCTTTACCCTGCTGCTTTTGCCCTGAGAGCTGCACAGTTGTGCCTCCCGCTGCCTGGTGGACAGGGGACATGGAGCCCCCAGGGCAATGGCAGCAGGTTGGGAAGCCCCAAGCCCACAGTGGACAGCTAGCATCCACCCTCACCCCTCTTGCTTCCACTCTGGCTGTGGTGAGGGGGTGGCGAGCAGGGAGGAGAGGCAGGCATGTGTCCCGCACCACACCCCACCTGGCTGGGTCCACCCAGCCTCCCCTGTGGGCAGGGACAACGCCAGCCTCTTCCCAGTGGGGTGGCTGGGCTGGGGCTGGGCTTGGCTGGGCTAGGGGCTTGAGGGGGCTATAGCCACCCCAAAATTCACCTTAACCCCCCCATAGCCACTCCTCCCACTGTTGCTGCCACTGCCTGCCCACCCCACACAGCTGAGCCCACATCACTCCCATCCACTCCGAGCCCAGCCCTGGCTCAGCCCCACACTGGGAAGAAGCTGGTGCCACCCCTGCTAGGAGCTCTGCACTTTTGTGGGCTCAGCTGAATGGAGTGGGCAGTGGTAGGAGGGGTGGCTACAGGGGGGCTAAGGTGAATTTTGGGGTGGCTATAGCCCCCCACCAAGTTCCCCACTAGCACTGCCCCTGCCCGTGGGGCATGAAGGCCCTCCCTGCCCTTGCCAGCTGCAGCACCAGGAGGGGAAGGGGCTTCTCCCCCAGCTGGAGCCCAGGGCCCCAATAAATCTTAATCTGCCTCTGTGTGGGGGTTACCACAAACCCATACAAGTGCCCTGCATTTGGTAAGCACTGCAACAAATGTAAAAGATTCAATCACTTTGCAAGAATTTGCAGAAAGGAGCAGGAAGCACCACACAAGAAACAGCAGGTGCATGCTCGATGCAATGAAGAACAGGAAGAATTCCTCATTGGCACAATGCAAGAAGTCCATTCTTCTGAGGATTGGACAATCACCCTGGACACCAATGGACAAGTGGTAACTTTTAAATTGGATACAGGTGCACAGGTCAATGTAATACCGGAATACATTTTTAAAAACATGAAAACAAAACCTGCGTACTATGAGAATAAGAGCGTGCGAGTTGGAGCATATAATGGGAACGTGATTGCAATCAAGGGTGTTTGTGCACTGCATGTTAGGCACAAAGGTAATATAGTAAAAATTCAGTTTGTAACAGTCCCAGGAAAGCTAGAGCCAGTTATTGGGTTGTGAATGTTTAAATTTCTAGGTTTGATTAAGAGAATGGATGCCATTGAGGGACTAGGAAGCAAGAACATAGAAGATGAGTCTTATGATGTGTTTCAAGGCATAGGGAAATAGTTAACTGAGTACAGACCAAACACCCTAGATCACTCCTATGAAAGAATGCTCAGCAGATATGGGAACATGAACATGAAGCTGAATTTAAAAACTTGAAGGAAAAAATAATGAAAGCCCTAGTACTAAAATACTGTGATCCTAAAAGACTCATTAAACTGTCAACAGATGCTTCTAAAGAAGGCGTTGGAGCAGCTTTCCTTCAAAAGCATGGGGATAGCTGGAGACCAGTAGCATATACATCTAGGGCAGTCTCTAAATCAGTGTCTATATGCACAAATTGAGAAATAAAGTTTAGCATTGTTTTTATCTCGCCTTGTCTCACTGATGTCAGTGGCAGTTTTGTCTGAGCAAGGACTGAGCAAAAGCCACAGCCCCCATCCTGCAAACTCCTCTTCAGGACTAAAAACAGATGATTGGTTTAACCCAGGTCTGATTAGTTCATGATATGACTCTTATCCAAACAGGGCAGAGGAAAGTTGATTACATGTGAGGTTTAGATGGCAACTGACATGAGCCAGCCAGGGTTGTTCAGAGGCAAAGTGTTAATCTGGATGCTTTTGAAGCTAAAAAATGGACCATGGGTTGGCTTGCATTTGAGCGTCTTGTTTCACACCAAACCCAAGCCCTTGCAGAGGGCCCATTGTCTGGCCAGGGTTTGCTCTCTGCTGACATTTGTGGAGTTGGTAGAGGCAATTAGGGCTGGCTACAAAATGGCACCCCTGAGAAGATCCCCATGACTTTGGAAAACAGTGCACAGAATAGTCTTATCTGTTGACTGTAATCAATTGGCTCTTGGTTCAGACCCTGCTTTTGCTGCTGGGTGAATTTGGGCAAGCCTGTTTCTCCATTAAAAAAAAAATGGGGATAATGACACTGCTCTCCTCTGGAAAGTTCTTTGAGGTCCATGGCTTAAAACCCATGTTGGGTACAGCTCCCATTCTTATTTAATGAACAGGAAAGTCTTCATTGTACCAGTGAATGCTCCCAATTAACCCTTGGCCTTGGCACCATGGTGGCTAATCCAAATTAACGGCTTCTAAAGCCTGGTGTGTAACCAACTGCCTCCTACCAGCTTTGACGCAACTCTTAGCCCCAGGCACTACATCTTGCATGCAGCTCATTCCCTGTTTGTACCCTGGACAGATGCATGAGACTGAGGCCAGTTCCTTATTCCCAGTTCCCTATTCCCTGTTCCTTTTTCAAAGTTAACCTTTATGTAGTGAAAGATGGATAACAAGGAATTAGACATGCTAAAGAGTTAGAATTTATTCAGAAACATATATTTACTAATAAAAATGTACACATCATAATGACAACATCATAATAGCATGTATCAAGTACATATTCTTCAAAAAAGTCTTCTGGTGGTGGAGGCGTATGGTTTGTGGTGAGTCATAAAGAATTTGCCCCATAACCCCAGCCTAACCTCAGGTTTTCACTAAGGGCTGTGTACTCAATACAAGATATTATTTTACATTTTTATTAGCAAACTAGTGAACTGCTCATCAAGAATGATGAGGGGGAGGGAACCTAACTGCCCCCCTCTCCCACCACTGCCTCCAAGGAGCCGGGGCAGGGGCGGTGGGGCTTACCCAGCCCCCTGGCCTTGCCCATCTGCTTTGTCCCCTCCATCCCCGCTGTCATGGTGGTGCTGCCTCCCATCTGTAACGCTCTTGGAGCACTCTGATTGGTTGTTTCAGTAACCAATCAGAGTGCTCCAAGAACGTTATGGACAGACAGACGGACGGACTAAGCCCTTTATTATATTAGAATATACATTTGTGATGAAGCCCAAACTCTTCATTTCTGATGAAGCCTGAATAGATGAGAATCAGAATCACAGCAAGATAGATGGGGAAAAAGGGTTGGGGCAATGACAGAACCCTGTTTGACACAAGTATGGATGGTAAATGGGTGTGTCTCTGATCGTCTCTTATGTGGGGGGGGGGGGGGAAGGGAGCTCCAGCTCCCACGTAATTCAAACCCTGCCTGGCGCCGCGTTGTTCTTGTATGTTTTTTACATTTGTGAGTAGCAAATACACATTTCTTTAGCGTGTCTAATTCGTTGCTAACGCCCTTTGCCTATGCATAGCTTTGCTTTGAAAAAGGAACCGGGAGCTGCAAGAAGGGACCCGCTGCAGCCTCGTGGCAGGTGCTTGGTGCGCGACAGGCGCTGCCCCCCTCTACGGGCGGGACAACAACCTGAATCAAGCCGGGGCGGGGGAGGGGGGTCCCCCTGTGCCGGCGCTGAGGGGACTGCGAGGAGCCGGCAGGGGGCGCTGCTGTGCCACTGCGCCCCCCGCGCGGTCCCAGGTGAGGCGGTGGCGGCACGCGGGCGCTGCTGCCCCTTTAAGGAACGTCGTCCCGCGCCACGGAGGGGGCGGGGAGCGAGAGCCTGGAGTTCGGCAAGGCGGACTTCGTGCTGTTGGACGCCGTCACCCTGCCCGAGTTCATGGGCAACCTCCGCCTGCGGTGAGCGCGGCGGGCGCAGGGACCTGCCTCCGTGCCCGGCCGCCTCCGCGTGGCCGGGAGCCCCTTTGAATGAGTCTGGCTGCCGGGTCCCCAGGTTGGCTCGCGGGATGCTACCGGCTGCCTGCAACCACCGGCACCCGCCCTCCCCTCCTTCCCTCCTTATGGCCCCCAGCGGGGGGGGATCTTGTTCCCCAGGAAGGTTGCATCCAGGGTTGTCCGGGAACTGGGCTGGCCGCGCGTCGCCCTTCCGATCCTGGCATAGCGAGCGGCTGATGGCATTGCTCCTTTTTGGCTACTGATTCAGGGATGCCATCCTGCAGGGCTTGGGTTTGGATGTGTATTGTGGGGTTCTGGGATAAGCTGTCATATATGGGTTTTTTTTTTTTATCCCATCAACCTTTGTAGGGTTTATGACTGATGTAGGTGTCCCAACGTTTGCATGTTTGTCCTGGGATAACAAAAAAGGACAAGCATGAGGTCTGTTTGTAGCCTTTTAACTTCGTACAGAGCAGTCAGTTTATATCAGCTTGTTGAACCCGAGGCCGACTCCTTCCCATCCACTTGTTTCTCTTCTAAGTTGAGTTCAAGTCAGAGGGCAGTGAGTGCCCCTTTCTGTCGACTAACGTACAAGAATGAGTCTGTTTGGGCAAGTGCCAAAGTGTGCAGACGGTGTCATTGTATCTAATAGTCTTGGCACTTGTGTTTGTCTTCTCCAGTTAACTTTTGGGAGTTTTGTGTGTTTTAACTGTATTGGCCGTCCTGCGCGTTTATCAACCGACCCTGCCCCAATGTTCGTGTGGCGCAGGGAAGCACTGTTTCACTTTGCAGACAGCAGGAGTGGAGGCTTGGAGGATTAGGTCCTAGTTGTCCACAAGCTAGTGTGTGAACCGGAATTAAAATAAGAGTTTCTGGCTCCCAGTTTGGTGCCCCTACCCACAAACAGCGCTGCTTTTCTGTGGATAAGCAGCACCAATCTAAAGCCCTGCTCTGTCCAGTCTGATGCATTTCATTAGTCTTAAACTCCAACTTCCTTCTGCCCGCAACTTCAAGCAGCAGCAGAATGAAATGGACAGGACCTTAGCCATTATCCCATCCATTATTAAGTATCCAGCCATCAGGAGATGCCTGGCTCACTTTTCTTTTCAAAGCATGGGGAGATGGTGCCTGCCTCTTGCATAATAGCCCCTGGTCCTGTGATTTATTTTTTTTTGCATTCCTTTCTGTGTGGTGTGTCAGTTTCAACAGGGGCGGTGGGAGAGTGCTTCTATCAGGGATTAGCCAACAGCCTGGTAATTAGGGCTGTCTTGGAAAGTAGGACCTGTGGGTGTGAATCCCTCCAGGCTGAGAAGAGCCTAGAATTCAGGTAGTCTCTTCCTGGGTGTCATCCTCTAATGACAACATGATTATATAATATGTTGGGCAGCACAACCCTGTGCATACGGAGGGTTTTTTTGTTTGCTTTTTTTAAGACCTGGGAGATGGTTGTCCCTATCCATAGAAGGTAATTTTTGTAATTAATCGGTTCCTCCTAAGTATGAGGGAGAGGATGGGATTTCAAATATACCCCTCTCTTCTGCATTCCCTATTAGTTAATCTAGGCATTCCTCTGTTGTAATTGGGCTTTAACTCTCTTCATTCACTGCACAGGAAACTTATACACCTTGCCTGGATTTTGTAAATTCTGTTTCCAGAGCTAGATACCTAAAAATTAGGTATGGCACTGGCAAGTATTACTTCACTTAGGCCCAGATCCACCCAGTGACGCAAGTCTACTGCTCTTGTCAGTTCATATAATTAGTTCTGTGGCGTTGGTGATGGAAGTCAGCGTTGTGAAGCTAAAGGTTCAGAGGCAGTATATGATGTGGTGGTTCTTACAGTTTAGATTTTGTGTGTTAACCCTGACCATCATGACTATAAGATCACTTTTACACTAAAAAAAAGAATCTTACTTTCAAAACACTGAATATTCTAAGATACAAAGTCAAGGATTTGAAAGTTAGGAAATGTTGGCTTACATGTTGCCTGTGCAACCTTGTTCATATGCATCAATGCAGTCTTTATTTACAAAACACATGGAGGTAAAATAATTGTAATTAAGCAGTTACAGTTAGTTTCCTAACAACTCTTGTTCTGTATTCCATAACTAAAGTAAAGGCTGAAGAATTTATTTGAAACTTCAGAGTTACTTGCTTTAGATTCTACTTTGTCTAATAAACTATAGAAAGCAAAATAGACATGGCCAATAGCATTTATAAAGTAGGGGTGCACCGATGGCTGATTTGTAACGAGCCATATCGGCTGATACCAATCCAATTCTGATATGCAGCCAGGCAGCTTGGAGAGCAGCATCTGAATGGTAAGTCTGTTGTGGGGGAAGGGGTGTTTAGGGGGCAGGTGGAGACCACACAGTGAGGGAGGGAGTGGGGCTGGGGCAGGACAGGTGCTGCCTAGCTGGTGTGGAACAGGAGATTGAGCGGCTTGTCCAGGGGGCAAGGGAGGAGGGCAGCTTCTGCCACTGGACGCACCCCGGAAGGGCATGGGGGGGCATGTGCCTCTGGATCTGCATGGGGTGAGGGGGAGCTGCTGCTGTAGGCTGGGGTGGCGCCAAACTGTTTCCAGCTGGGGCTGGGCCAGGCTGTGCTCAGGTTGGGCAGTAGTGCTGGAAAGGGAGCTACAAGGGGTGGGGGCTGCAGCCACCCCAAAATTTCCTGTAGCCCCCACAAACCCTCCTGCCAGCGCTGCTGCCTGCCCTAAGCACAGCCTGGCTCAACACCCACTCCGGGGAGAGCCTGGTGCCATCGTGACCCCAGCTCACAGCGGCAGTCTGCCCTAGCCCTGTGTGAAGATCCAGGGGCACACCCCACCCCATGCCCTCCCAGGGTGTGCATAGCGGCAGGAGCCCCCACCCTCCAAATGAGTGGCTTGCGGCTCTGTCCCCTGCTCTGCCTTGGCTGTGCAGCACTTGCCTCTGCCCCTGCCCCAACCCTAGCCCCAGCCCTGCTCCCTCCCTTATTGCTGGGGCCTCAATCTGTCCCCATCCCCATACCCCTTCCCTCACAACAGACTTGCCAGCCGGACCTGGCTGCACTCCTGGCTCCCTGCATGCTGCACTGCGGCTGCGTATGTACGGGGCATTTATTGGCTGATGGGGCCAATAATGCCGCCAAAAAAGCTGATTGCCAATACAGTCAATTTTCCTTCTATTGGTGCTGATCTGACATGGGACCGATATGGCACCTCTATTATAAAGCTTTAACAAATTCAACATGGAATGTTATAGGGTTATGGATCAGATGAATTAACTCAGGATTTTACTGTACAGGCAGACTTTTTCCTGTGTCATAACTTGGGCAGGTGGCTTTGCCATGAGCTTGATTTTTGTATGCTAATACAATGGAAACTGCCTGTGGCAGTTTGACCAGACAAGTCTAAAATTAGAATTTAGAAGCTTAAACAAGTTAATTATCATTGAATGTCACTTTAAACTCTAACACCTTGCCCACATATACTTAGTCAGGCTGTCCCTTTGACAAAAAGACTGTTGCAGACTAAGCTTTGTAAACAAAATAAAAAATATGCAGGGAGTGATTTTGAACTATTCTAACGTGACTGGAATTCTTCCAATAATGTAGGCTGTTTTGTGACTTTAATCAAAGATAAATTAAATGATGGTAAAATCTTTAGGTATTTTAATTGGTTTGTTAGGGCTTTTTTTTTTTTTCCTTCTTGGTATAGATAACTGCCAGGTTCTTTAAGCACCACTTCTGTGATTTGTAGGCTTCATTATTTTGAAATGCACAAGGTTTTTCCTATCTGCATTTTGCTGCAGCCGAGTATAGTTTCCTGTTACAAACACTAGTGCTATCAGTTTTTCCAGCCTCAGTGCCCTCGCTCACTAGTCTATGCAAGGGCACTTGGGAAAACTCACCTGAATTAAGTAAAGGTGATGATGACTTACTGCTTTAAGTCCTTGCTTAGACTCTCTTTTTCAGAATTAAAATGACTTTTCGATTCAGTTTGGTTTGTTTTAGGTTCAGTATAACGAATTCACACCTTTAGTTAGCTTGGCTTTATTTTCCTGAGCCTTCCTGTGAAGGCAAACTGTTGATCTAATTGCTGTGTGAATAAAGAAAATGGTTGAATTCAAGTCTTTGCCTGTCATTTGGAATTGGCATGCAAATGAGTTCTCTAGCTCAGCTTCCGAGCGAAAATGACAGTCTTCTCAAGGTAGGGAATTTGTTCAAATATTTTTCAGTCAGAATAGTTTCACTCATCTGGTTTTGTTTTTTCTGGTTTTCACTATAGATGCCTTGATGCCTTCTGTGAAGCTCTGTTTAATACGATAATTGTCTGTGACAAGATTATCTAGTTAATACCAGACAGCGTACCCTTGGTGACTAGGCTTGGAAAATTACTCTCATTCTCTTCTATTCAGTTGTTCTGGTCTTAGGAAACAAGTTGTTGGACAAAAGAGGAAACTTTATATGTTTTCCGTTTAGGAAACCAACCTTGCCTCTTCTTGACAGAGGGATACTGATCAATTGGAAAGTGAATCAGGCTTCTAGCAAATCATATGATCAGACATTTCAAAGACTTGTAGCCTTTCTTGCTCCTCAAAATGTTTGGATATTTTTGCACCTCTGTCCCTGACATCCCACTGTAGCTGTGCAAAACACCTTTTGCAATTCTTTGTATAAGGCATGTTAGATATACAGATTTGCTTCCCTCCCCGCCACCCCCCCACAAACAAACAGCCTACTGGACAGTTTTTTGTTTGTTTGACTGCTGGGTTTCATAGCTGTGATGTCAGCAACAAAAAAGCTGTTTCAGTATTTGATTATCCCTTTCACTTAAGTTGCTGAAATCAGGGGTGTCCAGGGTCTGCAGGGCTTCTTGTGGGCCAACTGGTGGCAGCTCATTGACAGGCTTTTTATGGGCAGCTGGTAGCAGGTTGTTGTGCTCTGCAGCCATTGAGTGAATACCACTGCCTCTCTTCTCCCCC